GATCGACGAACAAGGAAACTCAAAGTTCGCAAAAACTATTATTCCGATCGCAGCTAAAACTCTCGTGGAGGTAAAAGTAAGCACTTCTAAGTTCGGTTGATACAGATTACTAACAGATTACTCACACGGTGGTTGCCGAAGGACTGTTTATGTTCGACAAATTCAACGAGTTGAGAAAACTTGATGTTTTGCCATGTGTTTCCGGTTGTACTGGGTTCGTTGTACCTCCCGATTAACTTGATTGAATTCTATTGAATTCTATTTCTCCCTAATTCCGTCCTTCATCTTCTTTGAAGACAGTTCATCTCCTTCCTCGGCACTGTAATCCATTGAATTGCAATGGATGATGGAGGGTCATTCGTCTTCTTGTGTGAGAAAAAACAAAACAAATTCAAAATTCAGAAGCAATATTGTCAAGGAAAAAGTATAAATAGGCAGTTTGTGATGAAAACTGTGCTCACATTAATTTCTTTTTTAATTTTATTGCAAGTGACAAATGACAATGATTACTGTCGGCATTGAAATTTCAATGGTGTGTCAAAGTCGTTCAACCAATAAAATGTACTTTTGTAAACAGATGCCTATGCCAAAATACTATGGTCTTAGCTTTAATTCTTTATAACGATCGTGAAATAAATTTTTTTTTGTTTCAGGGCCACTCGATATATTAATGTATCACGATGAAGAAAGATTCAACAAACAAAGATATCTAGAACATTGCTTCGTTCTCATTATTTTGTTTCATTAGAACATTTTAGTTTTATTGTAATTTGGGTTTAACAATCATTTCCGGCTCTTGGCAAGACTCACAGAAAAAATAAAATCCTCAGATTTTCTGTTTTTATGATCTGGGCTAGAGGCGACTGGAAACATTATGCATTTATCAAAATAAATTATACGTTAAGAGAAATCCCAAGAGGAAACTAAGAACTATTTCCTAACTATTTTCCAAGCAAATTATCAGTTTGAAGACAATCGACTGGGAAACAGGAGATGGCTATCGTGATTTGACTGACATATTCAATAAGCAATTCTATTGGCTAATTTTCCTTACGAATGACAGATGGTGACAAGTCGAGTCTGTCCATACATGAACTATAAGTCAATAGGAATCTTATCTGCTTATTCCACATATATTAGAATTAATTTCCAAACAGTATCCTGTTATCACACCACCACAATTTTAAAAATTCATCAAGTGACAAGAAGTGTATTTTGGTTGTAGCTGTTGTTGTTGATGATAATAATTTATTTACAACTGTTACTGCTGTGAGTGCTTTTCGCTGTTGTGTCTAACCAGTGACAATCAGATAAGTAAGTAGTTTTTATAATATTTCTACTGTTTTTAATGTGAACACAAATTTGTAGTACTAATATTCCAAGGTTCCTTCTTTCCTAATATGTTTTACAATTGAGCCAAATTCAGTATTATTTGCAGGAACTTAAAAATCAAAAGTTAAAATGAAATTATGGCGTTTTACTGTTTTATTTAATAGTGCACATCATACATTTCAATAGGAGATTTGTTTCGCAGACAGTGGCGGTAACTCGCCTGCTTCGTCCGGTTGCACCTGACGAGAGTTGTATAAAACTTACACCTTGGGCATTCGGTAAAAATCTTTGTTTCCCACTAGATAGGCGAGGAGAGGCCGAGGGCATTTCTCCTCATCTCAAATCTGAAGAGACAGGCCAACGTTCCTAATTTAAAAGATGATAGTGGAATGGCAATCTAGCATTAAAGGGACATTCCGCTTCTTTAGTAGGTCGAAAATTATTTTTTGCTCAAATTTGTATAAGCTATAAACCAAAATGCACAGAAATGTGTCCCATAACGTATCTAAAAGGTTTTTACTAAAAAAGTCTAAAACTTAACAAAAAGGTAACGTATCCTTCTAGAGTTCGTTGTGCTTTTTTCAAGCTCTTAGAAAACTACACCAAAGCAATATTCAAAGGAAATTTCAGACCAAAGGTTGCTTCCTTATTTATAAAGATTACCCGAGCTAAGAAGATGCCCTAGAGGATTAATTTAGTTTAATTAATAGCTTGTTCTTGGAGCTCAGTAACCTTCTTTAAGCCTGTTGAATACATTCAAAACATGCAACACTATACGTATTACTGTATATAAGACGACACGAATATTTTGCATTTGATATTCCGAGGGGTAGCTTAATAAGTTATGTTCTATTTATAATAATGAAAAAGAAACATACATGTATTTCGATTCCATAAGATATATTGCTTTAATGACGAGACTACTTTATTATGTACAGATTGATTATCTAATGCATCTAAAATAGAATTGATCATCACGTTTTCATCAACAATACTAAATATAGAGTATTCGCCATTAGCTATCCACTTTTATAAATTATATATTTACGTGTTTATCAACAGATCCAATCACTAAATCTGACCCATGTTTTGCACCATAATTAGGAACTCAGATAATAACACTATGTATAATATGTGGACCTATCATGTTGATAATTTGACCTATGTATGATCAATTCATAGTTTTAGATTTTAAGTCTATAGCGAGAAAAAAGGACAATTATTCAATAGAAAAATTTAAACAATTGTCGAAATAACTACATCAGTTAGGCTACACGATTCGATTCAATATATTTCAGACTAACTTCAACTCATACCCAGATTTCTAGAGAATCATTTTAGTTCCCTATTACATAACAGAGAATTGAGTACCGTACCCCAAAAAATACTATATTTCCATGCATAGATTTTTCCAAAGGGTAATCTTGGTTATAGGCGGTTTGCCGAGCTTCCAGTTAACAAAAGAATTTAATGATTTTTTTACTTGATTAACTTCTTTTACACAAAATGAGACAAGGAAATATTACTGATGGTTTTTTTCATTTTTCTGTCTTTGTTTGGATGGGAAAGAGTTATAAAATAGTAGAGAATTCAGATGTTACACGATTCAATTAATTTAGCTTGAAGTAAGTTAGAATAGAGTTTATGAATTTCTAAAGGAGTTATAGAATTTAGCTTGAAGTAAGTTAGAATAGAGTTTATGAATTTCTAAAGGAGTTATAGAATTTAGCTTGAAGTAAGTTAGAATAGAGTTTATGATATTCTAAAGGAGTTATAGAATTTAGCTTGAAGTAAGTTAGAATAGAGTTTATGATATTCTAAAGGAGTTATAGAATTTAGCTTGAAGTAAGTTAGAATAGAGTTTATGATATTCTAAAGGAGTTATAGAATTTAGCTTGAAGTAAGTTAGAATAGAGTTTATGATATTCTAAAGGAGTTATAGAATTTAGCTTGAAGTAAGTTAGAATCTAAAGGAGTTATAGATTTGAGCTTGGAGTAGGTAAAACATAAAGGTTTACGATATTCTAGAACAGTTAGGGGCCTACAGATTTTAGCTTGAGTAAGTTAGAATAGAGTTTAAGATATTCTAGAAGAGTTCTAGAATTAAGCGTGCAGTAAGTTAGAATAGCGTTATATCTACATGTAGAGGAAGACAGACAATTAATAATATTAATTAATTATATGGTTTCTATAGCAATATCTTAAAAATGTATATAATTATATCATTACCATCGTCCTAAAGCTATAAGTATTAATATCATTTTAATCTGAACTTAGTCTGGATTAGTGCTTAAAATCCCTCCACTTTTGCCACAACTTATCACATTAGTTGATTAAATCTTATTTCTTACCAGACCGTGTCCTGTCTTCAAACACATTTTCATGAAATTATAGATTGTCGCCAAATCAATATATTTATTATAATACATACATTTCTAAAGTAATTAATGCACATTACTTAAGTGAGAGAACATTTTATCACTGATCTTCAGACATTTAAAATCTGTTCAATCTATTTTTGAAAAAAAATCATGTATAGGAGTTTATTGTGGTTTCAACATCAGCAATTTTTAAAAGGAGGCATACAGAACCATGTTTGACGGACAGTCAAATGTTTGTCTGAAAGCAAACGATGGTTCGGTCTTGTATTGCTTTTTTGATAATTTCACTTAGAACAATATATTCATATAAACAAACCAAATAATATTTTCAATTTGAAAACTATTAACAACGAAAGAATTCCTTTGAATTTTAGGAATTTCACAATGATCGTAAAAATTAGTATAATAATGTACCTTTTATTCAAATAAACAATGGAGCTTTCTCAATCCTTTGTTACAATTCATACCATTATATTATATTTATGATTGCCTTAAAATGGATTTCCGTTTGTTAAGTACATCTTATTAAAGGACAGTAAAAAGCTTATAATTTAGTTGAGATTATACTAGTCAATTTCACAGTCGGCATTACAGAAAATTATATAGCAGTCTACAGCGTTTCCTTTGCTAAATGGAGGGTTAATATAGATTCACGAACTTAAAAGCAGAACTTTCAAGACGCATTTCAATAATAAATATAGAGTACTAAGCATACACCCACACAGGGTCTGTGTTTGGTTAACATGTTGAGCAGAATAATAGCCAACTCTACTTAGATTCAAATTCTGTGAAAAAAATCTGGTTTACATATTTGTCAATCACGCGATAGCTGTGAAAATATCGAAGAGCAAAAGGTGGGGTTGGGGGTTTGGGGATGGCAAAGGCCAATCTTTACCTATGTTAAATAATTCGAAAGTTTGGAGGGATGAGAGATGCTTGTAAATGCAATGAAGACATTTTGGTCGTTTGATGAAAATTTTGTGGGTTATTGCAAATTATTAAGGCTTATGCATTTTGTTTACTTTTAATGGAAACTTTTTTTTTAAAAATAATATAGTTTTACGGAATTTGCTACTGTGGCTGCTCGTTGTCAACCTGTCGTTGCTATCAACTTTCGGATCCAGTTTTTGCCATGTTAATCGGGAGAAAAATGAATTCGTTAAGAAGAAATGGCGAGTTATTACATTTGGAAACATCTATTGTTGTTCTACTCATTTTCATCACAAGATGAAACAAAATATTGTAAACTATAGGTACTAAGGTACAATTTTTATTTTTTCAGAAGAGATGGATAACTACACAGAAGAATTTATGAACGACACTTACTTCCGCGTCAATGATTGCGAGAGTTCCTTAAATAAATATAGTGTAGCGACAATTTTAACAAACAGAGTGCTGCCAATCGTGGTCTTAGGTGGAATTCTTGGAATCATTCTAACTGTCATAGTTCTGAGACGCAAAACAATGTGTACATCCACAAACTGTTACTTAACTTCATTGGCATTTGCTGATTTGCTCTTTTTAGTTTTGTTATCACTCCAGTTGCTGATAGAGAGAATAGTCGGATGTGACTTTTATTCTCAAGAAAAGTATATAGTAATACATCACTATGGAAATATATTCCAGAATTCAGCTCATATAACATCTGTGTGGATTACAGTCATGTTAGCTGTAGAGCGCTATATTGCTATCTGTTATCCACTAAAAGCAATGGCTATTTGCACTATTAACCGTGCAAGATGTATGATAGCAATACTTGTCATTTCGGCATTCATGTGCAGAATTCCCAATTTTTTTGACATGACGCCTACAATTCACAAAACTAATGGAAGCTGGATTGTAGAATGGAACTGGAATTTCGATGCCTATAACATTGCATTGCATACATTTATTGTAGATTGTGTTTTGACTGCGATCCTGCCGTTTATTGCATTAACCATTCTGAATATCAGGTTAATATTAGAGATTCACAAATCAAGTCGTTATCTGCGCTATCATCTTGCTGCCGATTCTAATGTTCAAACTGTTATATCTAGAGAGCAGTTAAAAATAACAGTCATGTTACTTATAATAATACTTGCTTTCTTTCCTTGTCAAGGTCCAACCATATTTTACCATGCTGTCGAAGCTATTTATAAAAGATTCAAAGTAACCGAATCTGATAAAATATTCGGCGATGAAAAATCTTACAGTCAATTTTTAGCTGCTGCAAGAATACTCCTCGCCCTGAAATCATCACTTAATTTCATCATCTATTGTTGGTTTAGTGAAAAATTCTGGAATACTTTCAAAAGAATCTTTTGTTTAAGGTATTGTTTACCAAAACAACTTCCCAAACGTAATGGTAAACACAGCAATAATAACAGCCATAGACCATCATATCTTATATCTAGAGAAACTACATGTTGAAACTCCTGTCTCATCCCATCTATAATAATAACAGGTTGTGCATTTTACTCAGATAGGTTTTCACAACAACTTGATCAAAAACACCCAAATCTGTCATGATTACCATTTAACTGTTCGAAGCAAAACATCGGTATTAGTGCTAGCATTTTTCGATTCCGTCAAAAAGTCTCTACAATTTCGGAAGGCAGCACCGCGATGTATATATACATGTGCTGAAACAAATCATTCTTGAAAGTATAATGCCAAAGAATTTATCTGACTTATATTTTGTGTTTCATTAACTAAATGTCAATTTACAAACAAATAAGAAATATAATGTATGTAAACAGTATTTGTATAAACTTTTAATATGCAGGCATATTGTAAAAAAATGAATTTGTAAAAAAGTTTCTGATATAAAAATGTAAATATGTATTTATTCTGTTTTGTTTTTTCCAGATTGCATACATATTCGTGAATTTCCTGAATTATCTTAACAAATTATATAATCATTAAATGTGGTAGGCTATAACGTGTTAATCATTCAAAAGCTCCAATGCACTGTAGAAAGACAGATTGAAGGCATTGACCAAACGGACGCCGTTGTCATTGGTTGACATCATACTGGTGGGTGAATTTTATAAGATCGACTTTAAGGAGTTTCTATTATTGAATTTTTGTTTTATCAACCCCCGATAAACAACACTTCATGTGTTTTTTTTTATCAGAGATAAAGCGTTGTTTTCAATGCGACCTATACTATAGCTTTCCGAACGGCACCGGAACAAAGTTGTTTTCAGTCCTGAGACATAATAATAATTATGCAGTTGAATGACATTTCCATTCAACACCTGATAATAATTAATTAAAGAATATAACAAACACGTCAGTCATAATTCTTGATCAATAATAAAAATCGATTGATACTCACATCGAAATGATAAATACCAGAGCATGTATTATAGAACAATCTGTTCAACTAGATTCAATTTGAAATTCGTAAATACAGAACAAAGATTGTAGAAATACTTCAGAATGGTTCAAAACAGGCATGGATTTTATTTCATCACAAATTGGGTAACACAAATCGGTATATTATGGATGGACCTATTTAAGAAAGTTTAACAAAGCATGGAGTAATAATTCTTCCTTGTTCAATGGCGTATAATGTATAATATCTATTTTAAGTGGTAGATCAGGCGATTTCTTAATTAACATTTATCTTTAAACCTGGCTTTAGCAGGCATGGTTGCATATCGGGTTAGTTATAATATCGGGTGTCCCAAAAAGAAACTTCCTAAAGTTCGACAGGTGTATCTCAGCTTTTGGTAAACTGATCTCTTTCAAAATTCTCACAGATAGGCCTATACGTCCAGATGTCGTTGTTCGACCCTGAATATATGACAGTTATACAATAAAAATCGTAGAAGTATTGCTCCAAACAAAATAACTTGCCAAAAAATACAATATCAAGGCAACTTACCTATTTCAACCTGTGTTCAATGTGCCCCCCATCTTCTTCGTCCACCGATCGCAACCGTTTTTCCATCCCGAGAGGCTGTTATGGATCTCATCTAAAGGTATCTGCTCCCAAGAAGTGACTATCCTGCCTTTTAGTTCCTGTTCAGTTAGTTTGTTCCGCTACCCCCGATACACCTTTTCCTTCAGAGAATCCCAAAAAGCATAATCCATTGGATTAAATTTTGGGGATTGGAGCTACAAGTTTGGGATACCTTGCTAGTATACTATGAGGTCCCGCCTTGTTGGCATCTTGGGATGAACAAAACGGTTGCATTGGTTGGCCAAGGAGATGGAGGGCACAGGTTGAAATAGGCAAATTGCCTTGATATTGCATTTTTTGGCATTTTATTTTGTTCGGGGCAGTACAATTTTTATTCCATGACTTTCATATTTTCATGGTTGGAAAGGGATATCTTGAAGTATATCTGTGAGAATTTTGAAAGATCAGTTTACCAACAGCTTAAATACTTCCCGTCGAAATTTGGGAGTTTTTTTATTTTTTTTTTATTATTTTCTAAGTTCGTTATGCTTTTTGGAAGTTGTTAAGAAACTAGGGAACGGATTTGAGTACAATAAACGCCTTAATGTAGAGATATGTGTCTCATGCGTATTCAACTAAGGTAGTAGGTATAGGAAGTTCCAGCGGATGTTTCATACGTATTCAACTAAAAATATCGAGCCATTATGTAGCCAAATACCAAAAACCGCATATTTTACGATTAGTACTCAACGTTTTTAATTAACCATTTTAAAATAAACTCAGTTTGATCAAGAAGAGACATAGATATCAATATCATACATTAGAAATATTTTAAGGTATAATTTACAACGTTTTTGATAAACATTTTACAAAGATAGCTTGCCAGGTAATATACACCCACTGGCAGCTTTGATTTTGAAAAAAATATTTGGCAGTACAGTAACAATCACCAGTATGAATTATTCAACCTTCAGTCATACACTTCTTTTTAACTTTTTGGGGCGATACTGAATAATATTACCAAGTTTTGTCAAAATCCGACAAGAATCGTGCCTTGTAGTGTTGACGAGCTAAAAATTGAAAACATTTTCAAGAGCAATGAACTCGTATAGAACATTTTTGATTTTCAATAGGGTTTTGTCAAAATCTGTTCAGCTTTGTGCCTTCCAGGGTGTTGACGAGCATAAAATTGAACCCGATTTAAACAAACAAGGATAATACTAAATATTTTCAATAGGATTCATCCTTGGGTGATAACAAACAAAAAACCTGTCAACAATTGAACTTTCTAGAGTGTTCGATTTTTCTGATTATCAATAGGGTTTATTGTTGGGTGATAACAAACTCTCACACTAAGTTTCGTCCAAATCTGTCAAGAATTGTGCCTTCTACTATAGAGGGTATACGCGCTAAAAGTTGAACGTGTTTCAAGAACTAGGGAAATAACTCATACTGAATATTTTTCGATTTTTCTGATTTTCTGAGGTTCATGCATGGGTGATTACAAACATTCACACCAAATTCTTCAAAATCTATCAACTATTGAACCTTCTAGAGTGTTTACAAGCTAAAATTGAACGCGTTTTCAAGAACAAGGGCAATAACTCATACTAAATATTTTTCGATTCTTCTGATTTTCAATAGTGTTTATCCTTGGTGCTTACAATCACTCACACCAAGTTTTGCCCAGAATTGTGCCTTCTAGAGTGTTTACTTACATTTCAAGAAAAAAGGGCAATAACTTGTACTAAAAATATTTCGATTTATCTGATTTTCAATAGGGTTCCTTCTTGGGTGATTACGAACACTCATACCAAGTCAAAATCAGTCAAGAATTGTCAATTGCTTGGACCATGGGTCTGGGATAAATCAGTCGGTAGTGAGATGGATTTTCATTTTCTAGCTCAATGCGAGAGATCTTAGTTGGTCGTTTTTTTAGCACTTTGTGCCCAAACACCTTAGCTGGCTCATCAAGACCTAGTTCACTATCTGATGTAGTCAGCCTCGCTGCCGATGTCATCATCTGGCTCAACTATCTCAGACTCAACAACATCAGTATCCGCTGAAGAATGGCTCCCCAGGGAAACATTAACTTTAAATTTATCTATCAATATACTCGGCATATACGACATGAGGTGAGTTTACTACTTTGATGTGAGTTAAATATGAAGCTATTTGATACAAGGGATAATCACAATCATATAGTGAAAAGAGAACTGGCAGTATAACTGCAAAGTGGCGACCCGGTCTCAAAAGATACCTTCAAAGAAAGGTTAATTTTTTTTTAACTATGGTATCTGTCACGTAACTTTGCTAGTAACATCACTTATTGTTGTTGAGTTTTTGCTTTTGTGCTTGGACTGAATAATCCGGGGACACCTATCGGGTGTAATAAAATAACATTATTAGGTAGTCTAAAACATAAAATTCAAATAGGTAGATAAGAAAGACATGAGGAATAATTTCTGATCGAGTTTTTGCAGTTGTGCAAATTGTGAGACATAATATAGGCTCTGAAGGAAGTTCAAAACGTTTTTATTTAGTTTTGTAGACACGGATACATGTTAAAATGGGTATACTGATTAAGACCGATGGTGTTACCAGAGACAGAAAATCTTATAATACGATGATATTGAACACTTCAGACCAATTCGTGACCATTAATATATTACCATAGAATTGAATTTGAGCCTCTCAATCTTCAAGAAAAAACTAATTATATAATCAATAAAAATAAATAAACTATATCACCTTACAAGATGGAGACTGTCCCTTTGGATGACAAATGATGCGACTATCATTACCTACTGTCTCTATTTATTATTGAAGTATAAATTTGATCTGAATTACCCCTATATTAGACGCAACATACATGGCCAGTAATTACTGATACTTCATTTATCATATAGCCTACTTCAATAACAAGAGAAAAAAAGCAATAAGATTTCAAATGAGACATAGACACGCTTATTAGAATGCATTTTCGTCTTCGTCAATTAATTCATTTCCAATATGACTTTAAAGAAGAAGGTATAATTGAGGTTCAAACGCTATTCTGAATGTAATTGAACAGAGCTTTGAATATAGAAAACAATGCTGTAATCGGTTACACAACATGAAAGATTATTTAGTTTTTGTAAGAATCCATAACAAGTAGGCTACACGTGACTAGTGAAGTAGGCTAGTGATAGAACTGCTCTCCTTACGATCATAAAACTGTATACTAACAGTAGGCCTATACAGTTCTATGTCTACATGTAGTCCAAGAATGGTTTTTATAAGCCCACATCTCTCTATGTGGACGTATATTGTCGGCACCCCTGCCCGGTCTGTCGATCGTCCGTCAACAACATTTGCTTGTAAATGCTCTAAAAACTAGATTTTTTGATGGAATCAAATGAAATTCGGTATTTTTATTCATATTCATAAAACGAAGATCAAGTTCGAATTTTAGCTATTTTCGACCGTTAGAAGCAGACTTATTGCCCTTGCCCCAAAATCTTCAATATGCTATTACTCTCTTAGTTTCAACCGATTTTGATGAAACTTAAAATGAATGTTTCGTTTTTACCATCTGCATGCCGTGAAAGGCGTATATGGCTGTGGTCCACTATCTTTTATATAGAAATGACACGCACGAACTTAGTTCACAGCCATTTTGATTTCCTTTTTAGACTTAATAAGTCGAATTTTGATAAAGGCTTGAAATAAACAAAGCTTCTTCAAATAAAATTTAAAGCCTTTTCTAACCCTTAAAATGTGATTTGAAGGCTTTGTTGAAATATTCTGTAGCCTTTATCAAAATTCGACTTAATAATTCTAAAAAGTGTTTCAAAATGACCTGTGAACTACGTTCGTGTGTGTTATTTCCACGTAAGAACCATACGTAGTTTCAATTAGGCTATGGGATTTGGTTTTAGGCTACACTATAGTGTTATGATAGGTCCTTATAGTGTTATATATAACACTATGGCTACATCATAGGACTGTAGGCTAGGCCTATAGCTAGGCTACACCACACACTGCAAACTGCAAAGGGCACAGACGCAAGGATACCTCACCCTCAGTACTTGCCCTAACCATGTCATCCTGTTACGCTGTCGTAACTTCAAATAAATTTCCCATGTTAACGGCATACTACACAATAGAGTTATACACTGTGTAGGGCCTACATGTTTCTTTATAACTCTATGGCACACTGTCGTAAAGGGAAATAACCCTGGTCTATATTTAGATGCACACGTGTGAATACATTTCTTGAAAATAATAACAATTAAAACCTATCTATAAAATGGATGCTATTAGAAAGGGTTGGTTTAGTGAATTGAGTCCGTTATGGCCAGGACAGTGTCTGTCCTTGGAAATTGAAGAGGTTCTTTACCATGAGAAATCAAAATACCAAGATATCTTGGTCTTTAAGAGGTAAGTAGGGTAAACTGGGGCATGTTGGTGACTTGGAGTAATAAAATAAATTTAGTCAGTTTTTTCCACATTCTGATCTGCAAGGCTCTGCACCATTACCTCTTGTAAATTTAATATATAAAGTAATAGGCGTTTGACCATAATCTGCTAATGTTTACAGATGTGCATTTTGACAACCATTTTTGTTTATGATGAGATTTATTCAGTCTACACAGTCAGACAAGCTTGTGCTTAATCTTTTGGGTTGATATTAATGAAAATTTCGCGGGAGGGAAGTGTGTCTATTTCGATGTAAACACATCTAACATTTAATTTCAATGAACCCCTAGACAATTAGTCTGAGCTCAGTGTGGTGCAGTCAATATGGTATTGTGGTCAATGTGGATATTTCTGTAGGCTACTCTTATGATCAGGTCAATCAATGATGCTGTAGAGGAACCCTTGTCATTATTCTTTAGAAACAATATTATTTCATAAGTTTTTACACAAACTATTTCTTCTTTAGTAAAACTTATGGTAATGTTTTAGTACTTGATGGTGTTATCCAGGTCACTGAAAGAGATGAACATTCCTATCAAGAGATGTTAGCTCACATTCCAATGTTCTCACATCCTAATCCTAAACAGGTATGTTACACATAACTTTTCTACAAATTTGGATTTAAAGAAGTCCTTAAAACAGGCTTTGAAATAATGGGACACATTATCTACATGCAATATTCTTGAATTAGAAAATATTGTAAACAAAGAACATAGATGTAGGAGAGAGGAGGGAGGTGGGAGTCCAAATATTCTATTTCTTGAAAAACCTTGGGCAGACAATTAAGTAGTGTTTTTGGGTGGTGCTTTCTAAAAAATAATGAAGTACTGAAAAAAACACAACACCTTATGTTTGGGCAAACCAGCCTGGCCCCGCAACAGGAACCTGAGCTTGCTGCGGGCCTGTATTTTGATCTGCATTATACTAAGAAATCCTGATGTAGTGATATTTTAAAGTAATTTTTATACGCCCTCATGAAATGGGGAGAGGGGGGTCACTCATGTCCGTCTGTCCATAATTGCTCATAAACACTCTAGAAAGCTCAAGTTTGACGAAACTTGGTATGGGTGTTTGTAATCACCCAAGCATTAACCCTTCCAAAAATCAGACAAATCGAAAAATAGTATGTATGAGTTATTGCCCTTATTCTTAAATTGTTGTGAGTGCTTGTAACCACCCAAGAATGAACCCTATTGAAAATCAGAAAAATCCTTAGTATGAGTTATTGCCCTTGTTCTTGAAAACGCGTTAAAATATTTTGTAAACAGTTAAGAAGGCACTATACTTGACAGATTTTGACGAGATTGGGAGACATTGTTTATTTTCACCAAAGGATGAACCTATTGAAAATGGAACATAATCAAATAAGTATTTTGAATGAGTTTTTGACTTTGTTTTTGAAATGCTTTGACAAAACTTTGTAATATTGTTCAGTATCACCCCAAAAAGTTAAAAAGAGGAGTATGACTGAAGATTGAATATCAATATTGGTGATTGCTACTGTACTGCCAAATATTTTTATTCAAATCAAAGCTGCTAGTGGCTGTATATTGCCCTGCCTTGCAAGCTGTCTTCTTTTGTGGTTATGTTTTAACATATGCTTACTCCGCTCCTGCTTGAATTTGTATTGACCATGCTACCCTGATAACAAACATTATGTAAAAGGTCATTGCTAAGGTGTTATGAATCATCTAAAATAAGTTTATATACAACGAAAAGTTTTACCAAATCTTCTAAATGTGACAAGATTTAATAAAGAAAACAGTTTGTTTGGAAGTTGATCATATTATGGTAATTATCTCAATGATGCTATAAAACGTTACTTGACTTAGAATAGAATCAATTATATATTTCATTGAGGAAAATTGGCATTTTATGTTATTGCCCTTTACTTGTAAATCTTACAGTAGATCATGATTCTTATTCAAATAATAGCATCAATAAAATTTGAGATAAAATTTTTTACCACATGAAAGATGACTACTATATAAGCTATAAGCTATCCTCATTCTTTGTTGCAGGTGTTAATAATTGGTGGAGGGGATGGAGGAGTAGCTAGAGAAGTTTTAAAACATCCACAAGTACTAACAGTAGACATGTGTGAAATAGATGAGGTGAGTTGGCACAACTGATATTTCTAATGTCACTTAGTTGAATTAGATTCAGATATATCCTGCAGAAATTAGATATAAAATAAATTGATCAAGGCATCTTTTGCTGCAATTTGAATATTTAGAAATTGACAAACAATTAACAATTGTGTTCAACTCATTGCTTATTCCAAGCAAAGTTTTGAATATTAACAACTGATATTACCTTGCAATAACTGTGATAATTCAGTCAGATCCAGCAGACTCACATAGTCTATTTGTTCCCCAGTTTCCCCTTCAAGATTAGAAGATGCTTTGGATTAACTGATTTGAAAATTCAAAAACATAGTATTTAATTAGTTTCAAACAATAACCTTGCAGCACCTGTAGATATTTTATATAAGTTTTTCCCTTCATTGTAGAAAGTGCCAGAAGTTAGTAAGAAATACCTGCCAAAATTAGCCAGTAGTTTTGCCGACCCTAAATTTACATTACATGTTCAAGATGGTTTTGAATTCTTAAAGTCCCATGAAGGAACGTATGATGTTATTATAACTGATTCTAGTGACCCTATTGGTAAGTATTTCTTTAAAAGGAGCAGTTTCAGATCAACAGACCTCTCGGTAGTTTGTATTGAAATTAAGGCAAACAATATGTAATGATTTTTTTACGCTCCACATCTTGTTAAAATGTTCACATCAGACATAATTATTAGTCTTCACAGTAAGACATTGTAGACCATTTAAGGTTTTAAAATAGTAAATTATACAGTATTGAACTTTATTTCAATTTTAGGACCAGCTTCTTCTTTGTTTGAGAAATCCTACTATGACTTGATGTCTAAGTCTTTAAAAGATGGTGGTGTTTTAGCTAGTCAAGGTAATGGATGTTATTTTATAGGTTTTAGAAAAGATATTGTTTTAATCTCTTACTGCTTCCCTGAATGTCTTTAAGCAATACTGTTATCATAAGAGATGCTAAGCATCCTTACATTCATGTACCATTTTTATAAACAGTAAAAGAATAAACAATAAAGTGATTGTGAGCCCCACGTCCATGTTAAATTAGTGAAGCCCACAAGTCTACAACAGCTCTGTAGAGTACCATGAATATGCTCCCTGGAGATGATAGAATGACAACTACTAATAACAGTAACAAACAGGTTCTTTTCTTCAAACTGACACCATGAATTATTATTTATCATTACATATCATTTCACCTACGCGAGATTTACTGAAAAATATACAATGAACTAATCAGTGAATAATAGAGAATCCAATGTGGTCTGTAGCATAAAGGGAGATAACAGTAGTCAGAAGTGTCAAAATATTCATGATAAAAATAACATTCTGCGCTCAACGAGTCAATATAAACACAACAGGTACAAATTACAATAGATGCTGATTAAGTAGGCAATTAACAAAATGTCCAAATGAATATAAACTACTTAAAAGTCAACAAAGCAGAATGGAGCGGTTTCTGTCTATTCTTCCTTCAAAGTTTTTCGAGAAGTGCACAAATAGGCTGAAAGTTATCATACAATAAACAAATGTTCATGAATCAACATAGATCGATGGAACGATTGTTCTTTATATAAATACGATGTTTGTATACGCTCAAAGCTGATACATTATTGTTACATTATTGTTCGACGTTCCAAAAAATGTTCCTGATTTCAGATTCTGTTCTCGTTTGGTTCTTTAAAATGGCGCTCCACTTAGCAGCGGAAGTCGATTTTGATTGGTCGCAATTAACTTGGAATCAGACCACCATTTCTTCAGTCTGCCAACTTGTAGCAGATGACGCATGAAACACATTTGAACTCAACAACCCTTATAAGAATATCTTTGCTTAACCCTGATTCCAGTATTCTTGATGGAAGAAAAAGAAAAGAAAATTTTGAAATTTTACTTCCCACATCCCTTTGAAATTTAATATTCTTTTATAGGTGAATGTTTGTGGCTACATTTAGATTTGATAAAGGAGATGTTAGAATTCTGTAAAACTATCTATCCTATAACAGACTATTGTTATACCACTATACCAACCTATCCTAGTGGACAGATAGGATTTATATTATGTAGCAAAGACAAGGCAAGTTATAAAACTTATAGACAATGGGAAATATAGCAGGCATCCAATAGTAGGCCTATCTAATTTACTTTGACCTGTTAACTTTATGGTTTCTCTATTGACAAGAGGTAAGAGAATGTCGTGATTTAAGCAAGGTGATACAGGGAGTGCAAAAGATTTGGAACATACGGTTTATAAGGATAAGGCCAGAACAATTTATTTTTTTTATTTTTTTTATTTTTACCTCCTACCTGAACTTACTAGAAATCATCTGTAAAATAAGAATATAAATCAGTCTGGCCTAATATGAGTTCAAACCATTGAATCACTGTCGAATCATTAACTTTACCATATATTATATATGTAGGAATTAGATTTTAGGAAACCTGTTAGATGTATTAGTCAACAAGAAGTAGATGATATGTCTTTAAAATACTACAATACTGATATTCACAAAGCATCCTTTATTTTACCAGAATTTGTAAGAAAGGTAATATTATAATGGTTTTAATGTGTACACATATTAATGTTCCCTCAGTTCATTCAAATCAAATTGAATTATTCATCAAAAGTAGTTCTATGTATAGTATGTATAGTATATACTGTATACATATTATTACCATGTTGATGACTCAATATTTGTCAAACCTGTCATATAAAGTTTGGGTTACTTTTGAGCAACTTCCATCTAAAAGTATGCGACAGATCTTTGCCTCTTAAAGTACACAGAGGCTCATATTGATAATTAAGCAAAATACTTTTTATGAGTGGGTGCTTTGAAAATTTATGCCTACAGCCAATTTACCTGAAACCTGGTAATAGTTGTATGGTTATTATGGTATTTCAGGTACTGGACAAGTAAAAATGCTGTATGAAGAGAAGAAATTAAAAATTTCCAAAGAATATATAGTAGCTAACTAATGAACATTATCGATTAGACAACTAGTCATATATTGTGCCATTTTGTACATTAGTACAGCTGAAAATTACAGAAAAATTCCTAAATATGAGTTATATTAATTATAAAATGTTATTCATGAAAAATGATTTTTATACGCCCACATGAAATCAGGGGGCGTATATTGCCGTCACCTCTTTCCGCGATCCATCCTTCCACAATTTCTCGTAAACACTCTACCAGGCACAATTCTTGACTGATTTCGATGAAACTTGGTATATTTGTTTGTAATCACACAAGGATGAACCCTATTGAAAATCAGGCGAATCGAAAAATATTTACTATGAGTTATTGCCCTTCTTGAAACGCTCGTAAACACTCTAGAAGGTGCAATTCATGACAGATTTTGATGAAACTTGGTATGAGTGTTCGTAATCGCCCAAGGATAAACCCTATTGAAAAATCGGAAAAATTGAAAAATATTTAGTATAAGTTATTGCCCTTGTTCTTGAAAACGCGTTCAATTTTAGCTTGTAAACACTCTAGATGGCACAATTCTTGATCGATTTTGACGAAACTTGGTGTGAGTGTTTGTAATCACCCAAGGATAAACTGTATTGAAAAATTGAAAAATATTTTGTATGAGTTATTGCCCTTGTTCTTGAAAATGCGTTCAATTTTTAGCTTGTAAACAGTCTAGAAGGGACAATTCTTGACGGATTTTAACGAAATGTGGCTTGAGTGTTTGATATCACCCAAGGATGAACCCTAATGAAAATCAGAAGAATCTAAAAATATTGAGTATGAGTTATTGCCCTTATTCTTGAAAACACGTTCAATTTTTAGCTTGTAAACTTTCTAGAATGCACAATTCTTGACTTATTTTAACAAAATTTGGCTTGAGTGTTTGATATCAACCAAGGATAAAGCCTATTGAAAATCAGAAAAATCAAAAAATATTTAGTATGAGTTATTGCCCTTGATCTTGAAAAATCGTTCAATTTGTAGCTCATAAAAACTCTAGAAGGCATGATTCTTGCCTAATTTTGACAAAACTTTTATTAGTGGGCGTATATTACCTTGCCTGGCAAGCTATCTTTTATTAATATTCTCCTTTATTTTAACTGTGTTGTTTTATTTAATGTTAGATTCCCAAATTTATCACGATGGCTAATTCAGAGCAGATCATGGAATTTCTTTTTCTTATTCCTATAGAAAAGTCATATTTGTAATATTTGTCAATTAACGAATTTATCTTATAAATACATTCGTTCATGTTACTTTAAAATCAAAATGAATAAATCTGACAGAAAATTACGTTAATATGCTTGAGATTATTTACAATTTATCTAAGTTATGAAATAAAATATTTTAAAGCTTTAAATTCTGACTCGTACAAACAAAGCAAAACAAAACAATTAACATTATGCATGATTTGATTGTTAAATGTTCTATTCAAAACAATAAAATAAATATAATAACAAAACGAAACAATTTACATTAAAAATGTGTTGATTGTTAAATATTCTATTTAAAACAACATAATATACAAAAAATACAGCTTACATGACACCTCATTTTAAGCACTGTACAAGACACAATTCTTGACGGATTTTGACAAAACTTGGCGTGAGTGTTTGTTATCACCCAAAGATGAGCCCTTTTGAAAATCAGAAGAATCGAAAATTATCTAGTAGGAGTTACTGCCCCTGTTCTAGAGAACGTGTTCAATTTTTAGCTCGTAAACACTCTAGAAGGCACAATTCTTGACAAATTTTGACGAAACATGGTGTGAGTGTTTGTTATCACCAAAGGATGAACCCTATCAAAAATATTCATACTCAATATAATTCAGTATCGCCCGAAGAGTTCAAAAGAAGTGCATGACTGAAGGTTGAATATTTCATACTGGTGATTGTTACTGTACTGCTAAATATTTTTATTCAAAATCAAAGCTGCCAGTGGGCGTATAAATACTCATACTAAATATTTTTCAATTTTTCTCTTTTTCAATACGGTTTATCCATGGGTGATAACCAACACTCATGACAAGTTTCGTCAAAATCTGTCACAAACAAATCTGTTTACAAACTAAAAATTGAACGCGTTTTCAAGAACAAGGGCAATAACTAATGCTAAACATTTTTCAATTTTTCTGATTTTCGATAGGGTTAATCCTTGGGTTATTACAAACACTCACACCAAGTTTCGTCAAAATCCGTCATGAATTGCACCTTCTAGAGTGTTTACGAGCGTTTCAAGAACAAGGGCAATAACTCATAGTAAATATTTTTCGATTCGTCTGATTTTCATTAGGGTTCATCCTTGGATGATTACAAACAACCATACCAAGTTTCGTCGAAATCAGTCAAGAATTGTGCCTTGTAGAGTGTTTACGAGCAATTGTGGACGGACCGACGGATATGGCCCATTTCATGTGGGCATATAAAAATCAATATCAATAATCCAAACACATCAAATTATTGCATCAATATACATGATCACACCATGCTTCATTAAAATCAATTGAAAACTGTAGTCTCTTATGTGTTCACAAACAAATTTTGACATGTTTGTCCTAAGTCAAGGGCAATAACTAAAAGACCATTCATTGAAATATTAAATTCGAACTTGTCCAAGGTCTCATAAATATAAATGATTACACCAAATTTCATTAAAATCAGTTGAAAACTGTAGTCTCTATTGTGTTCACAAACAAATTTTGATGCGAGTTTCCTAAATCAAGGGCAATAACTCAATAACCATTCATCGAAAAATCGTCAACTTTGAATTTGACCAAGATCTCATCAATATGAATGATCACACCAAATTTCATTAAAATCAGTTGAAAATTGTAGTCTCTATTGTGTTCACAAGAAATGTTGACTGACCGACGGACAGGAGTGACGGCAATATATGTCCACATTTTCTTGTGAGCGGATAATTAATAATTAGCTAAATTAGGAGAAAATTACCAGCAAAATTCAAATAAGTGACTGATCAAGAAAGGTCAAAAAGTCTTTTTTTTGTTTATCCAGACTGTATATACATGTAAATTTATGATTGGTTAAAACTCTTAATTCTATGCAATAAGAACATAATGATATGATTAAGAATACATGATAATTCATGAGAAACACTAAATAATCAAATAGTTTGCTTAATTTGACACTAAAAAATAAGGAAACCCATCTTTAAACATGTTATTTTCTTTTATTTCTAAGTTCAATTAGATAATTAAAGTCAGTCTTTATCACAATTGCTTTTCATTAAGGCACTAATCGTTTGTCCAATAGCTGGGAGTTAATAAAGGTTTTATCGGACTATAATCACCACAAGCTGTCAGTAATCTGATGAGATTTTTAACAGATGGATCACCTGTTTTCTCTTTCCAGGTAAGCAACATCTGATATAATTCTTCTCTGCGTTTAACAGAATCATCTTCTCTCACCCTATCACGTATATTCTTTAGACATGCATCATCCAGCTGTAATAACTTTCCTACAAAATAATATATGGTATATGCAGATAAGTTTGAGTGAAATACCCTGTTTTAGTGACAAAAAACGTTAGTTTTTTTATTGTTTGTAACGATAATGTTATACACAGTTAAATCTTTATACGTATAGTTTTGATTTTGGCAGCAGATCTTGAACTTGCCTTTTCTTTGGCAAATATCTTGACTTAATATCTGAACAACAAAAGCATTTTAATTTATAATTAATTTTATACGCCCACATGAAATGGGGTGATTCCAAAAAGAAAGATAGCTTGCCAGGCAAGGTAATATACGCCCACTGGCAGCTTTGATTTTGAACATAAATATTTAGCAGTACAGTAACAATCGCCAGTATGAAATATTCAACCTTCAGTCATACACTTCTTCTGAATTCTTTAGGGCGATACTGAATAATATTGAGTTTGAGTTATTGCCCTAGTTCTGGAAAACGTGTTCGTGTCTTTAGCTCGTGAAAACTCTAGAAGACAAATATTCAATCTTCAGCGCGGTAATGAATAATAAAACCAAGTTTTGTCAAAAGTCGGCAAGAGTCATACCTTCTAGGGTTTTTATGAGCTACAAATTGAACGAGTTTTCAAGATCAAGGGCAATAACTCATACTAAATATTTATCGATTTTCCTGTTTTTCAATAGGGTTTATCCATGGGTGATAACCAACACTCATGCCAAGTTTCTTCAAAATCCATCAAGAATTGTGCCTTCTAGAGTGTTTACAAGCTAAAAATTGAACACGTTTTCAAGAATAAGGGCAACAACTCATACTCAATAGTTTTAGATTCTTTGGATTTTCAATACCACCCAAGGATGAACCCTATTGAAAATCAGAAGAATTGAAAAATATTTAGTATAAGTTATTGCCCTTGTTCTTGAAAACGAGTTCAATTTTTAGCTCGTAAACACTCTAGAAGGGACATTTCTTGATGGATTTTAACGAAACTTGGCATGAGTGTTTGTGATAAACCCAATTGAAAATCAGAAAATCGAAAACTATTTAGTATGAGTTATTGCCCTTGTTCTTGAAAACGCGTTTAATTTTTAGCTCATAAACATTCTAGAAGGCACAATTCTTCACGGATTTTGACGAAACCTGGTGTGAATGTTCGTAACCACCCAAGCATGAACCCTATTGAAAATCAGAAGAATCAAGAAATATTTAGTATGAGTTATTGCCCTTGTTCTTCAAATTTAGCTCTTAAACACTAAAAGGCATTATTCTTGCCGCATTTTGACAAAACCACGCTGAAGTTTAAATATTTGCCTTCTAGAGTGTTCATGAACTAAAAATTGAACACGTTTTCAAGAACAAGGTCAATAACTCATACTCAATATTATTCAGTATCGCCCTAAAGAGTTCAAAAGAAGTGTAAGACTGAAGGTTAAGTATTTCATACTGGTGATTGTTACTGTACTATTTTATTCAAAATCAAAGCTGCCAGTGGGCGTATATTAACTTGCCTTTGAGAATTAACAGGATTGTAAAGCGGTTTTCTAAAAAAAATTCATGTTTATCAGGGACGCTGATGGCATCAATTATTAAAAAAATAAGTGTTTGATTATGTTACTAATCCCGAAATTTACTTTATCACATAAGGCACTTTGCAATTATTGACGTTGTCAATGTGGTCATATATTGTCATTAAATAAAAATTGGTGTTATCATTTATAATGCTGAGATCTTGGTCAAGTTCGAATTTGAAGCTTTTTCTATTTCTCATCAAAAGTTTTGAGTTATTGCCCTTGACTTTGTAAAACGTGTCAAAATTGATTTGTGAACACATTCGAGAGACAACAGTTTTATCTGATTTAAATGGAATTAGTGATCATTTACATTGGTCATATTGAAATTTGAAGATTTTTTGATGAACGGAATTGGAGTTAGTGCCCTTGACTTCGTTAAAACGTGTCAAAATTTGTTTGTGAATCTACTTTTAATGATACACAATAATGTTTAATGTGGCTTGTGAACAGGATAGATGTGACAGTTTAAGTCAGAATTTTATGCTCGGTTAGTCCACATTCAATAGCTCAGTCAGTAGCTATTTGGTTTGTTGTGTTCTAGACCAACTCACCTCAAGATAAGAAAAATTCTGATGCCTGTGCCAGAGCTTCAAAGAGTAAGTCCTATTTCGGCTTTCACCCTTAAAACCTTACTCTGGAGTCTGGAGCTTTTGCTGATAAAAGTATAATAATGTGGAAATATATTGTTGTCATCCATAGCGTCTGTCCACAATCTGCTTGTGAATGGAATATATTGCTAAGAATTTGAAATATTTAAGGCTTTAAATTAACTTGTGAATAAAAACCAAATGCATCGAATTAAAATCCAGGAATTTGCTTAGACTTTGTAATATGGATTATTATTGTATTCCAGGGGCCTCATTCTGGAACACTTAACTTTGATTGATTATAGTGTTAGTCAATATCAAAAATTGATTTTAAAGGAGCATTCTGTCTTTTTTGTAAGTCACAATTTTATTTGCTCCAATTTGTTAAAACTACACACCAAAATCTAGATAAATATGTCCCTTAACACATAAGAGTGCATCCACACGTTTTCAAATGCCAAGAAACCCTAAATAGTATTTCAATAGTTCCTTGTCCACATACAACAAACCCATAAAAAAAATTCCACGCTCTGTGACACTGCCTAATACACTTATAACTTCCTAGGGGGGTTTATATGTGTTATCACTTGGCATGATCCTATAGATGTTAACCATTGAAATTGATATCAAAATGTCACATGAGCATATTAGTCCTAATATGAGAATATTTGCCTCGCAGTGGTGACATTCCTAAATGTTGACCCTATAACTTTTTTTTTTCAGGTTGATGCCGTTTATTGTAGATATATAGTGTTAGGACTTCAATGTCACTGTTGGTTGTTTCCTCATGTTGTCTTTCTCTCTAGGTAGTATACCTCCTTCTACGCTCATGTGGACATAGTACAACACGGCATAGCAGTGTAATGTAATTATTACACCAAAACTAGGTCGAACTGCTTAATTAGCAATTACATGTTGTGCTCTCCGTTTTTAAAACAAATTCACTCTGATTAAGTAGACACATAAATATAAATAACCCAACTTCAGAAATATTTTCAAGTATTATTTGCGACAATTTTGATTATGAAAATTTTGCATACTGCTCCTTTGAATTATGTTTTATTATTTAATCCGACTACTGTATTTCTTAAACTGTGGCCAAAGTTATCAATACAGTCTGCACTGTTGATAAATAGGATGAAACATATTATTCAAATACTAATTATAATAATGTACATATAATAATCAACATAATTACCATATTTCGAAAAACGTCTATCCCATGATTTTGAAAGTTCTGCCATCATGTTACTATCAACTTCTTCTGAACAATCTAGAAAAATATTAAATATTCTATGCATAGTAGATATTAATCATTTATAAATGAATGTTTTGAATTCAAGATAGCTTGCCAGGCAAGGTAATATACGCCCACTGGCAGCTTTGATTTTGAATAAAAATATTTAGCAGTACAGTAACAATCACCAGTATGAAAATATTCAATCTTCAGTCATACACTTCTTTTGAACTCTTTAGGGCAATACAGGATAATATTGAGTATGAGTTATTTCCCTTATGTTCTTGAAGACAAGTTCAATTTTTAGCTTGTGAAAACTCTAGAAGGCAAATATTCAATCTTCAGCGCGGGACTGAATAATAAAACCAAGTTTTGTCAAAATCCAACAAGAATCAGTGTTGCCTTTCAGTGTTTCAGAGCTAAATTTGAAAGCATTTTCAAGAACAAGGGCAATAACTCATATTAAATATTTTTCAATTCTTCTGATTTTCAATAGGGTTTATCCTTGGGTGATTATGAACATTCACACCAAATTTCATCAAAATCCTTCAAGAATTGTGCCTTCTAGAGTGATTACGAGCTAAGAATTAAACGTGTTTTCAAGAGCAAGGGCAATAACTCATACTAAATATTTTTTGATTCTTCTGATTTTCAATAGTGTTCATCCTAGGGTGATTACGAACACTCATACCAAGTTTTGTCAAAATCCATCAAGAATTGTGTCTTGTAGAGTGTTTACGAGCAATTGTGGACGGACGGACAGACATGGGTGACGGCAATATACGCCCCCCATTTCATGTGGGCGTATAAAATGCATTTTATTACCTATGATCGCAAAAGTCTTACTTAAGTATTCGGTGTGCAACAATTAAGGCAATTAATTTTTTTTTACGATCCCAGCATCTGATTCTTTTTTTTGAAAAGAGATACTTACTGTATTATTTTAAAAGAACTATATTCCTGTATTTTACCTTGTAATTGTTTCAATCTGATATGTTGTTCATGAGTAAGCTCTTCGACTTCACTGCATGATTGTTTTCCTTGACTACGAGTATAAGGTCTATGTCTGGTAACATTCATTGTATTGATGTGGCCAATTTGCAAATATTCAGCATTGTCAACATGGACATTATTGGTGATACCTTTAAATAAAAAGATAGCTTGCCAGGCAAGGTAATATACGCCCACTGGCAGCTTTGATTTTGAATAAAAATATTTAGCAGTACAGTAACAATCACCAGTATGAAATATTCAACCTTCAGTCATACACTTCTTTTGAGCTCTTTAGGGCGATACTGAATTATATTGAGTATGAGTTATTCCTCTAGTTCTTAAAAACGTGTTCAATCTTTAGCTCTTGAAAACTCTAGAAGACAAATATTCAATCTTCAGCGCAACAATGAATAATAAAACCAAGTTTTGTCAAAATTCGGCAAGAATCATACCTTCTAGGGTTTTTATGAGCTACAAATTGAACGAGTTTTCAAGATCAAGGGCAATAACTCATACTAAATATTTTTTCTCATTTTCTCATTTTCAATAGGCTTTATCCATGAGTGATAACAAACACTCAAGCCAAATTTCGTTAAAATCCGTCAAGAATTGTGCCTTCTAGAGTGTTTACAAGCTAAAACGCGTTTTCAAGAATAAGGGCAATAACTCATACTCAATATTTTTAGATTCTTCTGATTTTCATTAGGGTTCATCCTTGGGTGATAACCAACACTCAAGCCAAAATTCGTTAAAATCCTTCAAGAATTGTCCCTTCTAGAGTGTTTACAAGCTAAAATTTGAACGCGTTTTCAAGAACAAGGGCAATAACTCATACTAAATATTTTTTCGGTTTTTCTGTTTTTCAATACGGTTTATACATGGGTGATAACCAACGCTCATGCCAAATTTCGTCAAAATCCGTCAAGAATTGTGCCTTCTAGAGTGTTTACGAACTAATACTAAATATTTTTCAATTTTTCTGATTTTCGATAGGGTTTATCCTTAAGAGCTTAATTTGAAAGCGTTTTCAAGAACAAGAGCAATAACTCATACTAAATATTTTTTCGATTCTTCTGATTTTCAATAGGGTTCATCCTTGGGTGATTACAAACACTAATGCCAAGTTTCGTTAAAATCCATCAAGAATTGTCCCTTCAAGAGTGTTTATGAGCTAAAAATTGAACGCGTTTTCAAGAACAAGGGCAATAACTTATACTAAATATTTTTCGATTCTTCTGATTTTCAATAGGGTTCATCCTTGGGTGATTACGAACACTCATACCAAGTTTTGTCAAAATCCGTCAAGAATTGTGTCTTGTAGAGTGTTTACGAGCAATTGTGGACGGACGGACCGAGGGACATGGGTGACGGCAATATACGCCCCCCATTTCATGTGGGCGTATAAAAATGAGAGTATTACAGAATGATAGCAGAACAGCAGAAAAATAGAATGTTGAAAAAATTATGAACCTCAGATTTTTTTCTCTATAAGATTCTATACATATGACGTTGTAATAAAGGGATAATCGCTCTATTGAAATAAAAATATATTTAAGCCATCGGAGACAGATTTATTCATAATTCCTGGCATTTTTTGCATTTAAAATCTTCCTTTTAATGCTGCAATAGCAAACTATATTTATCTGTCACCCCTAACCCTGCACTGTGTATTTATCAAACAAACATGCCACAATACATTTTCTGATGAGGCAGTGTATACTCTTCAGGAATCAATTTCTTTTCCTTAAACTTCTTTCTCATGGCAAGTCATAACTAATTCTGATGATGTCAGATCTACATTTTACACTGTTTTACACCTGAAGTTCGGTCTGGGTCTTCTGCTCGGTGCAGTCGGTACCTGAGTGTTGAGTTGCTTTGGATCGCAGCTCAAAGTGGGTCTGATAGTGAATAAGTACCGTGAGGGAAAGTTAAAAAGAACATCTGTTGATGAAATTAAAGCACTTGTACTAGGATTTTAGTGGTATCAGCAAATACCAAAGGTGTTGTAACGTAGAAAATGAAGTTGAAAGAATGAAAAATTTACAAGGATAACAAATTTGGATCACAATCTAGGATCCCATATATATTTGGTCTTTAGCCCAACTTGTTGGCAAAGATCTTTCATGGATTATCCATACACTTCATTGCCAGAATATTGAGGAAAGGTTATGCAAAGCAAAAGAAGCTGGGAAACAGGATCCTTCAGACTATAATTTTTTTTTAAATTGTGTTCTGTTATTTAATATAATTTTTTAGAGGTTTGATTTTATAGGCCTATATTAAGTCAGGGAAAGGTTGTTACCTATCAATTTTTCTCAAAGCTGACAGTATTTCAAACAATTAGGCCTACAATTTGCAGAAAGAAAAAAGGAAATTTCCAACCTAATTTTTGTTCACATATTCATAAAGATTCCTTCTTGCTCAAAACTATATAAAATACTGTACTTGTCCTTTGACTGCGATGAAAATTACTACGTTGTTTTGATTCAGATGATGATAGTTTTTTTCTACCCTGCTTCTGAAATAATCAATAACAATGAAATTGTAAATAAATTGCTTCATATACCTTGACTTTTATTTTAGGATCATAAGCTTATTCGTATACCCTTGCCTACCCCAGTAGAGCAGTCTGCAATCATGGAGTCCAACAACGGACTCTATTTACAGATTTATTGGAAGTCAATCTGAAATATCATGACCTTCTGCCTATAACAAATAAGATAGCTTGCCAGGCAAGGTAATATACACCCAGTGGCGTAAAAATATTTAGCAGTACAGTAACAATCACCAGTATGAAATATTCAACCTTCAGTCACACACTTCTTCTGAACTCTTTAGGGCGATACTGAATTATATTGAGTATGAGTTATTGTCCTTGTTCTTAAAACATGTTCAATTTTTAGCTCGTGAAAACTCTAGAAGGCAAATATTCAATCTTCAGAACGGGACTGAATAATAAAACCAAGTTTTGTCAAAATCCAGCAAGAATCATGCCTTTTAGTGTTTAAGAGCTAAATTTGAAAGCGTTTTCAAGAACAAGGGCAATAATTCATACTAAATATTTTTCAATTCTTCTGATTTTCAATAGGGTTCATCCTAGGGTGATTATGAACATTCATCAAGAATTGTGCCTCCTAGAGTGATTACGAGCTAAAAATTTTAATAGCAAGGGCAATAGCTCATACTAAATATTTTTTTATTTTTCTGAGTTTCAATAGAGTTTATTCTTGGGTGAAAATAAACACTCATGCCAAGTTTTGTCAAAATCCGTCCAGAATTGTCCTTTCAAGAGTATCTACAAGCTAAAAATTGAACGCGTTTTCAAGAACAAGGGCAATAACCCATACTAAATATTTTTCGATTCTTCTGATTTTCAATAGGATTCATCTTTGGGTGATGATAAACTCTATTTACAGATTTATTGGAATTCAATCTAAAATATCATGACCTATTACAACAAATAAGATAGCTTGCCAGGCAAAGTAATATACGCCCACTGGCAGCTTTTATTTTTGAATAAAAATATTTAGCAGTACAGTAACAATCACCAGTATGAAATATTCAACCTTCAGTCATTCACTTCTTCTGAACTCTTTAGGGCGATACTGAATTATATTGAGTATGAGTTATTGCCCTTGTTCTTAAAACGTGTTCAATCTTTAGCTCGTGAAAACTCTAGGAGACAAATATTCAATCTTCAGCGCAGTACTGAATAATAAAGCCAAGTTTTGTCAAAATCCGGCAAGAATCATGCCCTTTAGAGTTTTTACGAGCTACAAATTGAATGAGTTTTCAAGAACAAGGGCAATAACTCATAAATATTTTTTGATTTTTCTGATTTTCAATGAGGTTCATCCTTGGGTGACAACAAACACTCAAGTCAAATTTCGTTAAAATCCGTCAAAAATTGTGCCTTCTAGAGTGTTTACAAGCTAAAAATTGAACGTGTTTTCAAGAACAAGGGCAATAACTCATACTCAGAATTTTTTGATTTTTCTGATTTTCAATAGGTTTTAACCATGGGTGAAAACCAACACTCATGCCACGTTTCGTCAAAATCCCTCAAAAATTGTGCCTTCTAGAGTGTTTACAAACTAAAAATTGAACGCATTTTCAAGAACCAGGGCAATAACTAATACTAAATTTTTTCAATTTTTCTGATTCTCGATAGGGTTTATCCTTGGGTGATTGCAAACTCTCACACCAAGTTTCGTCAAAATCCATCAAGAATTGTGTCTTCTAGAGGGTTTACAAGCTAAAATTGAACGCGTTTTCAAGAACAAGGGCAAAAACTCATACTAAATATTTTTCGATTTTTCTGATTTTCAATAAGGTTCATCCTTGGGTGATAACAAACAACCATGCCAAGTTTCATCAAAATCAGTCAACAATTGTGCCTTGTAGAGTGTTTACGAGCAATTGTGGACGGACGGACCGACGGACGTGATAAACAAAAAGATATGGTCCCATATGCATTAAACATCTTAAAGTGATAGTACGTCTTTTTAAACTTGGCAAATAAAACCCAGTAGTTATACCTGGTGTTATAAATAACATAACAGGATCCATATATAATCCGATAAATCCAAGTGACCTTCACCATGCAATGGTTGCCATTCTTGGATTGCTGATTTGGAGGAAATTTCGAGATGGCCTAAAATATTCTGTGACCGTGAGAACCCTATGAATATCTGCAATGGTCAAAAGTTGCACATGAGATTTCGCATTGACAAAGCTGAAATTCTCTTCACAACAGATCTAATAGCTATTGCATTAGGGCCTTGTACCTACAGAAACCATGCTATCGATTTACAGGTTTTTGCTGCTCTGAGGTATTATGCATGTGGTAGTATCCATCAAGTTAATTCAGACAGTAAAGAAACACCAAAGCACAGTATGTAAGATTGTCTATCGAGTTACCTGTGCTCTTCTCAGAAGGATTAATGAATTCATCAGCTTTCCTGCCTTCAAAGCTGCCTTTTCTAGAATCGGTGCTGTTGATGGTATTCACATAAAGAAAGGCAAAGCTGGCAGCTTCGTATTGAAATGAAATATTTGACCTTCAGTCTGGTCAGAAACGAGCCTTTAAGTGTTGACAAATGAAAATGATCAAGAAGTCGACTGTGAATCGAAACAACTAGTATTCTATAAATTAATATTAGTATAAATATACTATTATAGAGAGAGTCAACTATTAATAGTATATATATACTATTATAGAGAGAGTCAACTATTAATAGTATATATATACTATTATAGAGAGAGTCAACTATTAATAAAAACAGATGCCTGTGCCCCGTGTACCGAAGGCTGTGCTCACTAAAGATCCCTCAACAGTTGGAAATCGAAAAAGAGCCCACTTGGTGCGGAAAAGTAGGAGGTAAAACACCATTCATTTCATTTTCAAGATAGGGAAATCTGTTTTGTAAGTGACTATAAATGTAATAAACTTAGGCTACTGACACTGTTTGTCCATGGATGAAGTTTTGACAGCCGTATCCGAGTCCATCAAATACTAGTAACTTTCTCTCTGTAAATGTAATCTTTTGGTCTAAGTGGGTTTGATTAGATTAGTCTAATAAAGGATTTTTTGGAAACAAACAATATCGCTTGAAACATGTTTTGTATGTATCTGGACTTTTTTCCCAGAATTTACCATAAAAAATAGACGTATATAAATATAAATGATATTTAATAACATCTTTACTAACCTCTTCCGCTGGTTTAGAGCCATTATCTTCGTTGGATGCCATTTCTTTCAAATAAAGTACTGGTAAATAAAAGTAAATTTTCGTTTTTTAGTACGGTAATCATGAAAATGAAACTAGCTTTAAGCCAGTTTACTCGATTCGGGGCATGACTAATCACCTGAACTCTGACTACACGGTTTTCTGAATTAAAATTTGACAATCATTTCGTATAGGCTAGCGCACACGAGAGCTCCCAGCTGAACAAAATTGCATCCGTGTCTCCCAGCTCAGCTCGCAGCTTTCGTCGGTTTCCCCCACATACGCTAAGCTTAGAGCTTACGTAACGGGGTGTCGAGTCATAGACGTCTAAAAATAACTAGATCACGTGACATTCTCACGCGACTTAAACAAAATGTGTACGTCGTACAGGCACGGATATTCCGGTCATAATGAAATGGGTGGTCAGGAATTAGGGTAGGCTAATTAACCACACATCCAAATGGGTTGATAAAACTTTATTGCTTAACAAAAACCCTGAAATATTCAAAAGAAGAATATTAATTACTACAATAATAACTAAATATAAACCCTATAATACAACTATATTTCTTGATCTTGTTATTAAAGTAATAACTAGAAATACTAACTATACAAACAGTCTTAAAACAAAATATAATACAATTATATACAAAAATGCAAAAAGACTTACCCTAAGCAAAAAGGGGTTTAAGGAGTAAATCAAGCTAAAGGCTTGAATTCAACAATTGAGGTCTAGTCAAATATACTAATAAATTCTTAGCCACAATGATATCCAAATTGAAATGAAAAATACAAATTTAAATCATTGAAGGATCTTTCTATATTTCAATAAGGGAGTTGAAACACCTTCCACTTTGAAATATATAAAATTAATGAAAACAAAACTATAGGAAATAGTCACAATCCAGAGGTAACCAATATACACAAAGGTGAAACTAAGGACAGACCAATGGAGAGAAAGAAAAAGATGAGAAGAAATAAGCATGAGTGAGTGAAGAAAGGAAGAGTTCACTCAGTTGAACTGAAATTGAAAAGTGATTACAGTATGTTAGTAAAAATAATATCTGGCTAAAATAAATAATATTTACAATTAAAATATATTGCCTCTATTACATATTCCCCCCGTTTAAGAAACGTTGTCCACAACATTTATTATTAAGTATTAAATTCCTCGGGGAATAATGACTTACACAGGGTGGGTAGCATCTCCAAAACCACTCGCAACCTGTCATGAGCTAAAGTTGAAAAGTCTGCAGGTAACAAGGAACGTGCTAACTCTGTCCTCCTTTGACTGGTAGAAAAGTTAACTGGTTGCTGAGACAGGATATACTCACCGCTTTGTACCCATTGAGGAGGTTGTCTCAATCGAGTTGGTCGTACTTCAAGTTCAGCTGGTGGTACAGGTGGTAATTCCGATTCAGTAACATCATTTTCAGGGTTAACAGGAGCTAAATCTTCCACAATGTTATCACCAGGAGCGTTATCTTTGGAAGGTTCTGTAATTATGTCTGTTGGTTGTTCAATTGCACGGAATTCATCTCTTGGCAAAGCTAAAGTAGTCCTACCTGATAAATCTTCCGTTGATTCGATTCGAGATGAGTTTTCCAATCCTGGTGATTCTGGCCTCTCTAATTCACCTTGCTGTGCTTCTTGAACATCAGGAACTGGAAATACCTCATCATCCTCATTTTCACCAGCAACTTCTGTGGGGCTAGCAGCAGGCAAGAAACTTACCTGATCCACAACGTAATCTGGTTCATTTACACTTTTATCAGTGTCTGATTCATCATCTGTAACTTGTGCATTCTGTCTAGTTGTCCTGTTTGGTCTGGTTGTTCTTTCTTGTGTAGTGGTGTTAGTTGGCAGATCTGGAATAGTACCTATAGGGAGTAAGTGATTTCGGTGCAATGTTCTTTTCCTACCTGTTCCATCAGCAGCGATTACAGCATACACATCTATGTTTGGATTTGGTTGGTTTAAAATCCGATATTGCTTTTCCTCCCACTTGTCTGAAATCTTATGCCTTCCCTCAAACGCTACTTTTCTCACGAGAACAATATCATCAGGTTCCAATTGGTTACTCCTGGCTCTCAAATTATATTTATAATACCCTTCTTGCCTCTTTTGAGCTTTGGCAACTTCTTCTGATGCAGCTGCATAAGCATGTTCAAGTTTTGACTTCAGTTGATCGATATAGGTTTTCGGATTTCTGATATCTTTGTCACCATTAACTAAACCAAGTCTATAGCTAAGGTAGGCTTTCTTCCAAACATGAGTTCAAAAGGCGAGTAGTTGGTAGTTGAGTGCTTGGTACAGTTGTATGCATGAACCAATGGACCAATGTAAGTCTTCCAATCTGACTTTTGCTCTGGGTAAAGAGTTCCCAACATGTTGAGTAAAGTCCTATTGAAGCGCTCACATTGACCATTGCCCTGAGGATGGTAAGGGGTGGTCCTTGATTTCTCCATACCAGTGATTCGACAAAGTTCCTTAATGAGTTTCCCTTCAAACTGTGCACCTTGGTCACTATGGATCCTTTTCGGGATACCATAGTGAACCATGAAAGACTCAAAAAGTACCTTAGCCGTCACACTAGCTGAAGTATTCCGGACTGGGTATGCCTGTGCTTAACGAGTGAAATGATCGGTAACAACCAGGATATTGCTATATCCACCTTTACACTCTTCCACACAGACATAGTCCATGCATACTAACTCCATAGGTTGACTGGAAGAGATACCTACCAATGGGCATGTGGATGGTCGTGTCTTTCTTTTGAGGCATCTGTCACATCTCTTAATGTATTCCTCTATATCACTCGTCATCTTTGGCCAATAAAATCTGTCCTTGGCCAAACTTGTAGTCCTCTCACGACCGAGATGAACTACATCATCATGTATCCCTTTAATGGCTCTACTTCGAAACACTGCTGGCAACACCAAACGAACTTCTTCGATACCTTCACACTCTGTCCGTCTAAATAGGGCTCCGGAACGAAGAACGAAATGTCTATACTCCCTGTTTAAGATGGCTTCCTCTGGTGAAGTAGGTTTTCGTTGTTGTACCCTGTTGTGCTCAATATTATCAATTACAATCTTCAACAATGGGTCTTCCTGTTGCTCCTTTCTCCAGTTGGTAACATTGACAATAGATGATGATTCTGGTATGAAAGCTGGAATCACTTGCTGAGACATGCTAATTGTATGCACGTATCCATCGTCTACTTCGATATTCTTGATGGCTTGCACAAGATCTTCTCTTAACTCAGTAAAATTCGCTTCTGTGGCCACATTCCAAAGACGAGTAAGTGAGTCTGCATCCAAATTATTTCGTCCAGGTCGATATTTAATTGAAAAATTATAACCAGCAAGTGCTGCTATCCATCTATGACCAGTTGCGTCAAGTTTGGCTGTTGTCAAAATGTATGTGAGTGGGTTGTTGTCTGTATATACTGCAAACTTGTTGTTGTAAAGGTACTGGTGAAACTTTTCGGTCACTGCCCATTTCAGTGCAAGAAACTCCAACTTGTGCGCTGGATAATTTCGCTCTGACTTGGATAAAGATCTACTTGCATATGCTATAACACGGTCTTGGTTGTCCTGCTCCTGATATAACACAGCTCCCAGACCACGTCCACTGGCGTCAGTATGGAGTACAAATGGCTTCCGAAAGTCTGCATACGCCAATATTGGTGGATTGACAAGACATTGACGAAGTGTGTTGAATGCAGATTCTTGAGTTTCCCCCCAGTGCCAATCTTTGGATGATGCTGAACCACGTTTCTTTTTGGTAGGACCTCCAACTAGCAACTCATTCAAATCCTTGGCGATCTTCGAGAAATCCTTAATATATCGTCTGTAATAGCCGACAAATCCGAGGAATCTTCTGAGTTCATCACTATTTGTTGGTCGAGGCCACTCGGCAACTTTCTCGGTTTTAGAAGGATCTGTTTCTACTCCATTTGCTGAAACGATATGTCCAAGATATTTCACCTTTTCTTGAAAGAAATTGCATTTCTTTGGGGATAATTTTAAACCATGCTGGTATAGTCTTGAAAACACCAAAGACATTCTTTCCATATGTTCTTCATAGGTCTTACTGAAGATTATTAAATCGTCGATAAATATGGTGCATATCTTTAGGTTTAGATCTCCCAAACAATCCTCCATTAAACGTTGGTAGGTAGCGGGTGCATTCGTAAGCCCAAATGGCATTCCATTATACTCGTAAAACCCGAGTGGTCCAACAGTAAATGCTGATTTGGGTTTATCCTCCTCCTTTATGCCAATTTGGTAATACCCAGACTTCATGTCTAATACAGAAAAGTATTGGGCACCTGACAGATGATCAAGTAATTCATCAACCCGTGGTAGTGCATAAGCATCTCTGATTGTCTTCTTATTGAGTAGTCGGTAATCCACACACATCCTTAATGACATATCTTTCTTCCTGGCTAATACTATGGGAGAGGCATATGGGCTGTGACTTCGGCGTATAATACCTCCATCAAGTAAATTCTGAAGATGTTGTTTCACCTCATCATACATACCTGGTGGAATTCGTCGATGTGGTTGTTTAATGGGTATAGAGTCTGTCAGTGTGATCTCATGACTTACCAAATCTATACATCCAATATCATTCTCATGCTCTGAAAATACAAACGACCAGTTTTTAATAAAATCTTTTAACTCTTGTAGTTGGTTAGATTCCAATGCAGTGTTGCTAAAATCAATCTCATTCATGAAATTATTTTCTATCGGCTGGCACTCATATGTCGGTGTTAGGCTGTTATTGGTCGGCTTTCTGACGATGTCTACTGCAACTAACTCACATAATACTGACTGTGGGAAAATTCTCACTTTAGATAATGATAAATTGGATATTCTCACTAATACTGGAGTACACAAATCGTCTGGATCAACCTCCATTATAGTAGGTGTAATCTCAACATAAGATGGTAGTTTAGATACTGATGACTTCTGAAAAAGTACATGTTGCCTTCCGAGTAGTGTGTAATTTTCTATCCTTCCTGTCAAACAAACAGACTGGTTACTATGTAGAATTGTGGACTTGAGCTTTGAACATTTTACTAAACCAACTGTGTTGTGTAGGATATTTTCTTGCATCTTCATGCACTGAAATGTCATAGTCCATGTTTCTGGTAACTGAGCTGTCATGTGATAATTATGACCATAATCCGCAAGAACTTTGTTGAGGACCGGCTTCAGGATGTTGGTACCAATAAGTAATGGGGTGGTGGAGTTGAAAGCAGGGTCAGGGACAACAAGAAATATTCCATCCACATTGGAAGTGTCAAAACTTGGGATTGAACGGTTCAAACAAACAGATCCAAGATGCGGCAAATTATGTCCTGTAGCACTTTCAACTTGTATAATTTCATCTAGTGGAACTAATGTACAATCCTTTGTCTCCAGATACTCCTTAAAAAATGACTTAGCTATAGTTGATATAGTTGATCCAGTATCCAACAAGGCTGCACAATGTTCACCACAAATATCCACCACAGTGATGTTACTATGTCCAATAACTTTTGAACGACTAGAATGTTTGACTGGTAACTGTACATCAGGAATGACATCTAGTCACTGTTGTTTCTTCGGCATCCTACACCCTCTTGCTATGTGCCCTTCTTGTCCACATCTATAACAGGTTGGTAGCTGTCTTGGGGTTAATGATGTTCTTGCATCTGATTTAGTTGCTTGAGGTCTGTCTCTCTTCTGAATGTCTTCGACATTTTTCTGTAGTGCCTGCATCGATTTGGCTAAACTAGCCACCATTGCTCTTAAGTCGGAGTCTTGAGAATCGTCTGGTTTCTGCACACTATTAACTCTAGCTTTGGGTTTGGAAGAAGTAGATGCAAGAAGTCCACAATCCTGTTCTATTTTCCTAACTTCAATCAAGAAATGGTCAAAGTCCTGGATACGGTCATATTTATGTGCCGACTTATCTTTAAGATCTGATCTTAATCCACTCCAAAATTTGTTTCTTAGCCTGGAATCAAATGATAACCTATCAATTTCATTTTCTAATAATGCTTTATTCAACAAGTCTTCCAACTTACAAGCCCAACTGGAAACAGATTCATCTGGTTGTTGAGTGGCGCTGTAGAATTTAGATAATAAACTTTGACCTTCCTCAAGAAGACCAAATCGAGTTGACAATTTCTTAATCAGCAACCTAACTGATGCTTGATGACCAAGATGCATAGCAACTCGTGCAGCTTCACCTTTGAGTGACTTCACCACAGCAATACGTACCGACTCTTCACTATACCTACTATCCTGTAATAAACTGAGAACCTCAAATTTCCATATATCAAAAGACGTATCATTCTTATCTGTTGGATCACCTGAAAATGTTGAAATCCTTGGTAGGTTCGGTGATAAGGTTGTATGCTGTACCTGATGTAAGCCTGTGTAAGCTGGTAGTTGGTGTAGCAGAAGGGTCATGTTTCGTCGTAAGTAACTTTGGTTGCTGTATCTGTGATGGTAGCTCTAACTTAACAGGATTAGTTCTCTTAGGTCTAGTATCTCTAGCTTCTAAAGGTACCTCAACATCATCTGTTCCATGGTGTCCAGTAGACTCCAGATACTCTTTCATCCATTGCATAAAACTTTCCGTAGAATCTGTGTCCGGAATAACCTCTAACTTTCTGAAACATTCCAAAATATTTCCTCCGTCACTGGTTGATAAAGAAAATTGTTTTGGTCGTACGTCCAAAGGGGTAATATTAGCATCAGAACCACCTGTGGCACCTCCAACATTCTCTGATTCAGAATCAGACATCTTAAAAAAAAACAGGTAAACTGAAAATACAAGTTGCAAAACCCGAAAATATAAACTAAACGGACAAAAACATTCACTGTATAAAATATCAATAACGCGAGACACTATTATTTGCATACATGCAAATATAAATGAATTCGCATACGCGTAAGGCCTTTATACGCAAACACGAAATAATCCGCAAATTTTTTTAACAACGGAATTTTATTAGCATAAACGAAAAGTGTAAACACATACAGAAATATGCAAACACAATTATACGCAAAATGATATTGTTGTATGACCTGAAATAAAAATGAATTCGTATAAGTCAATATGTAATTGACAGAAGATATCAAATATTTTGATATCATATGTACACAATACTTACTCCTGATACCCAGAGGAAAAAGTGTCTGGAAAATAAAACAAATAGTCAGTGTTATATATATTAATGCATTGTGTTAGATTTGATGTGCACGCCAAGTGAATGATGGATCCCAAGATAAAGGGAAAGATATAGATAGAAAGAAAGCAAAGCTAAAAAAACAAAGCAATCAAGAAAAATAATATAGAGATAAACTAATTTAAAGACAATAGAAATATAAACCTCATTATACTAAGTTACCTGATGGAATCAACTTAAGTTTGATAACTGATAATAAAATTAAAAGTATATACTTGATAGACAAACAGCAATTAGCAAATGAAACTAAATCTATGAACAATTATTGCAACCTGAAATAACATTAAATGTAAACTTGCAGAGTGTATATATGTATATGTATATGTATGTAGTGGAATAGACCTAGGCTAGTACTATGAAATTATATATAATACTAACAACTTAACCATAAAAAAAAAATTCAGAAAATTAAAAAAAATAATTCAAAATTAAATTTGAAAATCAACTAAAAAAAATTCAGAAATAAATTTTAAGTAAATTTAATGAGGCAGAAAAAAATAAAGCTGCGAAACTTATAAGTACAAACTTAAGGAGTTTCTGATTTATAGTTTGAAATTCAAGATGGCCAAAAATTAAAGGGAGGTAATTAATACCTTTAATAAATTAAATTTTAGCACTTAAGTAAAAAGTTGCTTACTTAAGATAATTAACTCGATTAGATAATTTAAATTATGAAAACTTGAAAATAGAAAAAAGAAAAAGAAATTCCATAATTTAGCCAAATACATTATAATTTATATAATATATACAAATAATAACCTTGATGAGCATATAACAAATAAAAAAAAAATAAAAAAATAAAAAAAAAATGACAAAATCTTTTTTTTTTATTTTTAAATAATCCAGATGAAAACACAATAGAAAGTTACTCACAGTAGTTTACAAAAAAATGCATGAACGAATCCAAATATCACTTATTGCTGCAGCAACATCGCAAATGTTAGTGCACTATTATATTCACTCATGGGTTTTTTCAGGAAACAGGAACTGTAGGTACAATCACGTTGGGCGCCAATGAAATGGGTGGTCAGGAATTAGGGTAGGCTAATTAACCACACATCCAAATGGGTTGATAAAACTTTATTGCTTAACAAAAATATTCAAAAGAAGAATATTAATTACTACAATAATACCTAAATATAAACCCTATAATACAACTATTTTTCTTGATCTTGTTATTAAAGTAATAACTAGAAATACTAACTATACAAACAGTCTTAAAACAAAATATAATACAATTATATACAAAAATGCAAAAAGACTAACCTAAGCAAAAAGGGGTTTAAGGAGTAAATCAAGCTAAAGGCTTGAATTCAACAATTGAGGTCTAGTCAAATATACTAATAAATCCTTAGCCACAATGGTATCCAAATTGAAATGAAAAATACAAATTTAAATCATTGAAGGATCTTTCTATATTTCAATAAGGGAGTTGAAACACCTTCCACTTTGAAATATATAAAATTAATGAAAACAAAACTATAGGAAATAGTCACAATCCAGAGGTAACCAATATACACAAAGGTGAAACTAAGGACAGACCAATGGAGAGAAAGAAAAAGATGAGAAGAAATAAGCATGAGTGAGTGAAGAAAGGAAGAGTTCACTCAGTTGAACTGAAATTGAAAAGTGATTACAGTATGTTAGTAAAAATAATATCTGGCTAAAATAAATAATATTTACAATTAAAATATATTGCCTCTATTACAATAAGTCCACCAACTTGTCTTCGATAATTGCTTCAGATACAAACTAGCATTTACCGATGGGCGCAGCCAGTATTGTTTGATCACGTGCTAGCGCATGCGCCCCAGTTCAAAGTTGAAATCTAAGAGCTTTCGAGTGCGCACACGGTAAGGTATTTTTCATTCGAGGAAAGAATTATAATCAAACACGACAGATAATTCCCTTAACGCCTAGAATAAAAAAAACCTTACGTAAACTCTGCGCACACGAGAGCTACGAGCTGAACTGAGAGGCACAAATGAAATTTTGCTCAGCTTGGAGCTCTCGTGTGCGCTATAGCCTTATGAATTTAAATATCATTTACAAAATACTCTTGAGAGTCTTATAGTTATATCGCCTTTAGGTTGTTGAAAATGTTAAAAATATTAAAAATTCAACTCAGAGCTCAATGTAGTCAGCGTACTTGAATCGTTTAAATAAATAGTAAGTACAGTGGTGTAACCTATTTTCGTGGATATAAGGATTCAACAACGAATTCCGTCACAGTAAAAAAACGAAATTTTTTTTTTATGTCTTAGATGTTTCTTCAGATATTCTACAAAATAATTAAAATTGGTTTATTTCGATTTTCTTTATGAATCCTTTACTTTGACCCATATTTCATGAGCAACCAACTCGGCAACGGCGGCAGAATGCGTCACCTATTTTCGTGTATTACGATATTACAATTAAGGATGCTTTTCCCATACCCTTGATAGATGAATGTGTGGTTCCCTCTGTAGTCACGATACGTTTTACATGAGTACTCTAGATCTAGCGGCCGGTTATTGGCATGTTGAACTTGAACCTACAGATAGCAAGAAAACGGCTTTTGTGACTAAATATGGGTTATACGAGTTTACACGCATGCCTTTCGGACTCTGTAACGCCCAGCCACCTTCCAGCGAGCAATGCAACTGGTCCTAAATGGACTGTCGTGGAAACAGTGTCTTGCTTACTTGGACGATGTAATCGTGCTCGGTTCCTCGTTTCGAAACCATTTAGAAAATCTAACCACCATTTTCGATAGATTTATAAGGATTAACAATCTGAAATTGAAGCCGAGGAAATGTTTATTGTTTAGGACTGAAGTTAATTTCCTTGGTAAGAGGATAAGTAAAGATGGTGTGGCTGTGAACCCGGATCATAAAAGCACTATTACGAAATGGCCGGTCCAAGTATCTAAAAAGGAGTTGCAGTCTTTTCCTGGCTTTGCTAATTATCATAGGAAGCATATTCCATCCTTTGCGAGATTAGCCTGTCCTCTGTATGACCTTATTGGAACAAAATCTTGGTCAACGGAGCATCAGAGTTCTTTTGAGCTTCTTAAGTCAGCCCTCATGAGCCCAATGGTATTAGGCTTACCTAACGCTACTGAGCAGTTCATATTGGACACCGACGCTTCTGATAAAGCTATAGGTGCAGAGCTACTCCAAATACAGGATGGTAAGGAGAGACCAATAAGCTATGGAAGTAAAGTGTTGACAAGTATCCAACGCCGTTATTGTACCACAAGAAAAGAATTGCTAGCTGTTGTCACGTTCAGAAGACAGTATCGGAATTACCTGCTTGGTAATTCTTTTGTAATGCGTACTGACCATGGCAGTTTGACGTGGTTGCTCAATTTTAAAATTGTGGAGGGTCAACTGGTGGTTAGAGGAGCTATCACAATACGATTTTAAGATTCAGCATAGAGCTGGAACTAAACATGCCGATGCTGATGGACTCTCCAGAATACCTGATGTTTTAGCAATGTGTACATGCTATGTACCTGGCAGAGATATAAGCTTATTACCATGTGGCGGATGTAAATCTTGTCATAGAGCAAATCAACAGTGGTCACAATTCGAACTTTCTGTGGATGACGTGTGTCCTTTAGCGATTCGGTCCCTTTCGCTTTCAAGATTCGAAAACGATAGACGTTGATTGGACTGGGTATTCGGCTCATGCTATCCGAAATGCACAGGAATCGGATAGGGACCTCGTTAAATTGATTGAATTGATAAGGTCAGGGGTAGCTATTTCTCCGAAGGAACTAGCGTTAATGAGTCCTGCTTTTAAATACTTTTATCTGATCAGGAGTCAACTGCTGATAATTGGCGGTATTCTTTGTTACAAATGGGACTCTCTTACCCCTTTTAGGAATCTGGTCGTTGTTCCTTGTTCCCTTCAGCAAGAAATATTGCGTTTATCCCATGACTGTATGTCAGCCGGGAATTTTGGCCACAATAAAACACTTCAGAACCTGAAGAAGCGGGTTATTTGGCATCAGATGCCGCGGGATTGCAAGCTATATGTGAAAGGATGTAAGGTATGTAATGTCAATAAAAAGGCGAGTGTTCGCGCTAAAGCTGGACTGGTGTGTTATCAAGCAGATAAAAGCGTTAGAGCGAGTTCATCTGGACACATTAGGGCCGTTCGTGACAAGTAAATCTGGTAATAAGTACATTTTGATGGTGATTGATCAGTTTACGAGATGGCTAGAATGTTATCCTCTTCCCGATCAGGGTGCAGAAACTGTTGCTCAAAAGGTTGTTAACGAATTCATTTCCAGATTTGGATGCCCTCTGCAAATACACACAGATCAAGGAAGAAACTTTGACGGAAAACTTTTCCAGAATCTGTGCGATGTCTTGGAAATAGCTAAAACTAGAACTACGCCTTACCACCCCGCGTCCAACGGGCAAGTAGAGCGATACAATCGGACAGTTCTGCAGATCCGATGCTTTCTGAAAGACAATCAACAAAGTAACTGGGATGATAATCTCCCTTTAATTGCTAGCTCCATTAGGGCAACTGAGAACCGTCAGACTGGGTTTACTCCGAATTT